ATTTACGTCAAGTGTCTATTACGGTGGCACAGATGTGACACATGGGTGTCTTTATTTATCTTGTTCACACAAGATATTATCTTGTTCCCACGAGATATTATCTTGTTCCCACGAAATAATTATCTTGTTCCCACGAGATAATATCTTGTTCCCACGAAATAATTATCTTGTTCCCACGAGATAATATCTTGTTCCCACGAAATAATTATCTTGTTCCCACGACATAATTATAGCCAATCAGAAGGTGTAAAATGGTAATATAGCAGTTACTTCTCCTTATTTAGTTGAACATTTACTTGATTATACATGTATATACATTATATTCATGTATAACCATGTAGGTTGATCTTGAAAGTGCCACACTGTAGGGACATACAAAACCTTAACTATCAATTACTGGTGTTTAATAGCGCATTTGCGTGCAAACTGATCTGGGTCGACACTGGAGGGATGCATGTAAGTAGCCTTTCAAAACTCTGTATTTATAAGGCGGTGGCCCCGCAGTGGCGTTCAGTCCACCACGCGCGAATGAGTAATAATCAAATACAAATATCTACGGTGGCACAGAGGTGACATGTGGGTGTCTTTATTTATCTCGTTCCCACGAGATAATAAGTCGTTCCCACGAGATAATATCTCGTTCCCACGAGATAATTATCTCGTTCCCACGAGATAATAAGTCGTTCCCACGACGTAATCTCGTTCCCACGAGATAATTATCTCTTTCCCACGAGATAATAAGTCGTTCCCACGACATAATATCTCGTTCCCACGAGATAATTATCTCGTTCCCACGACATAATATCTCGTTCCCACGAGATAATAAGTCGTTCCCACGACATAATATCTCGTTCCCACGAGATAATATCTCGTTCCCACGAGTTAATTATCTTGTTCCCACGAGATAATATCTCGTTCCCACGAGATAATTTCAGCCAATCAAAACTCAGTATAGTGGAAAAATTAAAAGTTATTTCCCTTTTTTTAACAAATGCTAAAATGGACTTTAACAATCAGGCTAATATTAGAAACCTACGAATGGTAACGAACCATCGTACCATTACGAATCTGATCCACACAGCAAAATGCAATGATTTAAAATTGCCCTAACGGAACTCTGTACTATTCCCACTGAATACCTTATCGCAGACGTCTAATTAACAGTATTTTATTCCTGTATGACTATGTATTCTTAACAATTTCTTCGCAGTTAAAGAATTTCGCTCCTATCTGTATTCTCATGTCTCGTCGCATTTAAAGTTTTTCTCTCCTGTATGTATTCTCCACCTCTAGTCACATTTAAAGTATCTTTCTCCTGTATGTATTCTCATGTCTCGTCTCAGTTAAAGAATTTCTCTTTTGTACGTATTCTCATGTCTCGTCGCAGTTAAAGAATTTCTCTCCTGTATGTATTCTCATGTCTCGTCTCAGTTAAAGAATTTCTCTCCTATATGCATTCTCACGTCTCGCCGCATTTAAAAAAATCACTCCTGTATGTATTCTCATGTCACGTCGCACTTAAAGAATGTCTGTCCTGTTTATATTCTTATGTTTCGTCGCAGTTAAAGATTTTCTCTCCTGTATGTATTCTCATGTCTCATCGCAGTTAAAGAATTTCTCTCCAGTATGTATTTTTCTCTCGTGTATGTATTCACATGTCTTCGTCACAGTTAAAAAATTTCTCTCTCGTGTATGTATTCTCATGTCTTGTCGGAGTTAAATAATTTCTCTCCTGTATGTATTCTCACGTCTCGTCGCATTTAAATTATTTATCTCCTGGTATGCTATTCTCATGTCTCTTCGCAGTTATAGTATTTCACTCCTATATGTATTTCTCACGTCTCGTCGCAGTTAAAGAATATCTCTCCTGAATGTATTCTCATGTCTCGTCGCAGTTTAAGAAGTTCTCTCCTGTATGTATTCCCATGTCTCGTTGCAGTTAAAGAATATCTCTCCTGAATGTATTCTAATGTCTCGTCGAAGTTAAAGAATTTCTCTCCTGTATGTATTCCCATGTCTCGTTGCAGTTAAAGATTTTCTATCCTGTATGTATTCTCATGTCTTGTCGTATTTCAAGTATTTCTCTCCTGTATGTATTCTCATTTCTCGTCGCAGTTAAAGAATTTCTCTCCTGTATGTAATCTCACGTCTCGTGGCATTTAAAGTATTTCTCTCTTGTTTGTATTCTCACGTCACGTCGCATTTAAAGTATTTCTCTCCTGTATGTATTCTCATGTTTATAGGCCAACATCGTTGCTATTGGGTTTACCCTTTAACAAAGTGAATGTTTGGTCGCATAGGGATCATGTGGCTTTGATACTGCTGGATGCTGTGTGATTTCTCCTTTAATTGGGTAGTGCGTTTATGAAGTTCATACAGAAGAGGCTTTTTGTTCATCAAATAACATAAAGGAATATATGATAATGGATACAGAAAAGAAAGTCTTATAAATATGACGTTTGTTGCCATGTCTGTGTCTCAAGTTTTTACATGACATTTTGTTATTTGTGGCTATACATTTATAAAGACGGGTGTGCTATTTTCTTACCCTCGGGATCCATTATACGGAGAATGGTTGCTAAGTCGCCTGATCGAACATATAAACCATTTGCCAGACATCTTTCACGCATAATCCTGTATCCGTGTTGCTGGCCTGAATGTTGGAGTTCATTCTGGACGAAGTCTATAACTGAAGATGGATCAGAGTACGACCTTCGTTGAAGTCCTTCAGACCTTAAAAGTCTATATAAATGTCTTATTGACAATAATATCCCATGTTGTTCTCGCAACACTATTTGCCGGTAATTCAATCTTTCATGAAAGTATCTTGATATAAGGTTTCTAATATTAGCCTGATTGTTAAAGTCCATTTTAGCATTTGTTAAAAAAAGGGAAATAACTTTTAATTTTTCCACTATACTGAGTTTTGATTGGCTGAAATTATCTCGTGGGAACGAGATATTATCTCGTGGGAACGACTTATTATCTCGTGGGAACGAGATATTATGTCGTGGGAACGAGATAATTATCTCGTGGGAACGAGATATTATGTCGTGGGAACGACTTATTATCTCGTGGGAACGAGATAATTATCTCATGGGAACGAGATATTATGTCGTGGGAACGACTTATTATCTCGTGGGAACGAGATAATTATCTCGTGGGAACGAGATATTATGTCGTGGGAACGACTTATTATCTCGTGCGTGAGAACGAGATAAATAAAGACACCCACATGTCACCTCTGTGCCACCGTAAATATCTTAAATCAATGCAGCATGAGAAGGACCGTCTTCGCAGCACTTAAGAAAAAAGTTACAAAACCCATTTAACACGTGTTGCGTATATGCTTATAACGACCATTTTCGAACCATATCCCCCGACAAGCAAATGCTTCATCCTGTCAAGGTCTGCACTGTTCGCTGTTGAATCAGTAGGTCAGATTTTAACTGTCAAAGCAGTTAACCCCTTGATTAGCTCACATGGTTTATACAGGTTAACTGCTTTGTTTGCCAGATAGAGTTGCATATTTTTCTTAACTTTTGACCACTTGACAGTAAAGAAATATGCAACTCTGTCCACGCCCCTATACCGTTCACAAACTTTCGGGACGGACACTTAGACACTTGGACGGACAATGGCAACGCTATATGGGGCACAAAAATATTGAAGAACACAAACAATGCTGAAACGTATTGCTGCGGTGAGTTAAGAAGGCACATGCACCCCGCGCCCCATCCGGATCTGCAACTGGCCATGCACAATAATGTATGATACATTTTACGTCGGGGGTAAACCAGAGGGTAAAATCACGGGTTAGTTGGATAGATTGTTACAGTATCCAATACAATAAATTACAAATTAACATATGAAAAGTTGAGACATCTATCGTTAACCGATTTGGACATTTATGAGCACCTAATTTGTTGCGACATTTTTCGTTAATTTTTGGACGTTTATCGTTAAAGGAGTTTTGGACATTTATCGGCGATTGAGACATTTATCGTCAATTTTTGGACATTTATCGTCGTTTGGACATTTTTCGACGTTTGGACATATATCGGCGCTACAGCATCCAATATAATCATCCTGTTATGGACAGTTAAGAGCGTTTGAACTTTTCCATGAAACAACAATATTAAAAGTTTCCGAATGAGCGTCGAGCGTAAAATCATATCAATATTAAATCACATTTCCTTAAAGGCACATTAATATTTATGCCTCAGAAACAAATGCATTTTTACTTCCAATAATTGTTTTAGAGAATGTTAGCAGACAGTAGCGATAATTGTGAAATAACTTGCCATAAAAGTAGCAAATTGTAAACAACGTAGTATTTTTACTTCCATACAAAATACAAATTCACTATAAGTGTACTTTTTGCCAAAAAGGAAAAGACGAAAAAGATGGTTAAAGTATTTGGCCAATGAGTAACTTTTTGGGTACTATAAAGGTTTTTTGAAAAATAAGAATAAAAACTCTTATGAGGCATATTGGACATTTAACATATTTTGGATATACATGTAGAATAAACAGGTTATTTAACATTACACAAGTACAATACGGGAAAATTTTATTTCCAATTGGGATGGGACGGACTTCAGTGAAGAGTAAACGGACGTCAAAAAATGCACGGTTCTTGTTTCCTGTATTATCAAAACCAAAAGCCGACATCTGATTTTTTTATTTTATCTCAATACAATCATAAAATCCTGTAGTAATGAATGACATAAAATCAGATAGTTCTAGAAACATAAACAATGTTGAAACTTTACAGGAATGTTTTACAAAAACTATTTATCAATGTTCCACCACATTCTCACCTTCTTTTTCCCTGTCCGTTGAAAAAAATAAACACAGTTTCCTGTTTTTATTTTTGAGCCGCGTCACGATAAAACCAACATAATAGGTTTGCGACCAGCATGCATCCAGACCAGCCTGCGCATTCGCGCAGTCTGATCAGGATCCATGCTGTTCGCTATCAGTTTCTTTACTTGTTATAGGGTCTGTAAGCGAACAGCATGGATCCTGATCAGACTGCGCGGATGCGCAGGCTGGTCTGGATCCATGCTGGTCGCAAACCCATTATATTGGTTTTGTCGTGACACGGCTCTTTTGTTTCTTGGTGCTGTTAAATATGCAAATCAACCATGTCAACAGTGGACTCAAAACAGTATTAAATCAACATGACATAGTTTGCATTGGCCACCACATGGACGGCTCTACACATATATCTCAGACGTGTAAAATTTTACACGTACGTGTATTTCGTAATCAAATATATACTTTTGTTTAAACAATAAATTTATTTTCAAAAAACAGAATAAACAAAATGTACTTATATTGAGAATATAACATATAAATATAAATAAATATATCAAACTTAAATAAATTATGAACAAAAGTGAGACATTAACATGTTCTTATTAAGTTAGTTAACAAGAGTACACCGTTCAACGAGTTAACAATGTTTTTCGTCGTCGTCGTCGTCGTCATCGTTGTTTCCTCAAACAATTATTTTATCTTCTAATGTTTATAGTAGTCGGATATATAGGGTACTCTACGTGTATGTTGACCCCATTTATCCCGTCCTATACACACCTCTCGACCTCTCCACCACTCTTCAATGTTTCCATAACTCGTTTGTGAGCGCGATGTGTCATGTAACATGGCGCATACACGACACCAGAAAAATGTGTTAATGAAACTACCTGAACCCTTCCATCTAAAATACTCGTTATAAAGATGATCATTCTGATCTAAGTCTATGAGATAATCAGCTAGATCTCTAGGACTCGTGTATTCGTCCACGTGAATAAACGAATAATGTGGTGAAACCCGACGGTAATCTTCCGGCGCCGCTCCCATCACTATCGGAATTACATCGTGCCTGAAGTAAATGATAATATTAGCTCATTAGACGTTTAGTGCATGTCTTTTAAACTGGTACAGATCCAATCTATATTGTACTCTTTAATGTTAAACCACTGTTAACTTGAGTGTTTCTTTAGTTTAATGTCTTTCCTCGCAAAAAAATTGATTGTGTGACATACAGAGTTCATTTTACATTTTTGAGCTCCGTAATGATACACGGAATAAGCGGGATATATAGCTTCCTGTACTTAAAACTTAGAGGACAATTATGCCCCAGAAATGCTGCCCATTTATTTCTCAAATCTTTCAATTTTTGGTATCTTGTTACAGTTTTCAAAGTAATACTCATGCACCATAATTATACATGTACTATCTATGGCAACTATGTATGGAAGACAAAATGCTACTTTGTTTACATTTTGCTACCTTTATGTCATATTACAATACATTCAGCGTTATTTTCTTCAGTTTTGAATATCTAACATACCAGAAATATATTAATCAAACACAATTTCTTCTTTCGCTGATTTGTTGAATAGTATATACAATGTAATAATACCAAACCTCTGGTATCAATCACCTGAAAGAATATCAATTATTCCTATTCTTGAAGAATAAACAACTTTAACCGACACGCGATGCATTTTAACGAATCCCACAAATATTTATATATAAAAAATAATGCATCTGAGTGCATGAAATAAAATCTAAGTAATATAAATAAACTACTCACTGTAAACCGGTGAAGAAAAACTTTTCTGTTATGTAATCCCTGCAGTTTGAATTTTCAAAGGAAAGATAAAATTTGTATTCTTTATTTAACATTTCTGAGCAGGAATTCTGACCTCGTGGGCATTTCTTGTCGCCACACTTTCCAAAAATATCCACTTGCATAAATTTTGACAATTCCTTTGCATACTCGAGTCTATTATTTGTAGCCCGGCAGTTAGATACAAACCAAGCTATCTTTTTAGTTTTACCTTCTGCGTAGTTTTTAGTCATTTTAGGAAGAATATTAGAAATAGTTTTGTCGTGTTTTACAAACTTTTCATACGGTGCTACAATATCAGAATCATGTCTATAAGACGCTGTCCAATTAAAATGTCCATTAAACTTTCGAAGACTTGGTGTGAAATATGGAGCTTCCAGCAAATACAGAATCCAAATTTGACTCGGAGGTCGGCGAAACCAAGGGAATCTCGGATTTTGACGGAAAAGAACGGCATCTGCCGAGTGAGCTGCTCGTCTGCTATCGGTAAGTTGACAGTTGTTGACGGGACACTTTTGTTCCAGGAAAGTAGCTCGCCCGGGTTTTACTCCCCAATCTTTATAACCATTATATAGCAAAATGGTTTTCATTGGAATAGAATGTACATTATCTACAGAAACAGGTTTATGATTCAACTGTTTCAGAATTCTGTCATCTTCATAATTATCTAAACTCGGCCACAATGATGGCGGCTTCGAATATATCACAGTCTTTTGTGTAAAGTCACTATTGCGAAATGTCTTAGGAGCCTCAAGATAATTTCGCGGTGTCACTTCAGGAGGTAGTTTTGAAACTTTCTTTACTTTTGAATTGTTTTTATAGCCTAAAATCAAATACTTTGAATCAGTGTGTGAACTGTGGTCCGGTGACAGTTCTAGGGCATAATTGTCGTCTGCAACTCCATCCAAGACATTGACATAAAAGTTTAAAGAAATCAAAGACATAAAACATGTTAGCACGATAAATGATCTAACAGTACGCACACAATTTCGCATATCCATAATGATAACTTTTTCTTATTAAAAGCAATGTCTAATTTACAAAAAAAAGTCCTTATTATTTGTTTTCGTCCGAGTTATTAATTGCAAAGTCCATTTTCAAAACATAAAAAACTAGTTTTCACTAGAAACTGTTGTGTTATGTTGGGCAGTTTTATTTTATTATAGAAATGACCATAAACTAATGTAATATATGATGAGATTTATTTGATTTTTACTGTCACAAACTTCCGGTTACCTTGTGTGTATTGAAAGCGATGTGACCGTCGGTCAGAGGCCGGGAGCACGCGGCTGTCAGAAATGATCCTTGAACGTTAGTTAACTGTTCATTTACCCGCGGGCTTTAAATAGGGAAATATAACTGTTAATAAAATCAAATTTTAATTAATACTGTATATAAATAATACATAGACATTGCTTTTCGGTTCTTACCCATTGCAGTAGAAAAAAATGATGTTGCTGCATGAGTATCACGGTATGCACGTGTGTGATGTGGCCTTTAGTGGCGATTAAAATATCAGTTCCTCTACAACCCGAGGTAACGAACAATGGTGTCAAAACTTGAAAATAACAACAATAATAATAATAAAGACTTTATTCTACGAGAGAACTCATTTAAACAACATATTAGTTACTCAACAAAGAACAGTATAAAAGTAACATATTCAAACAATTAAAATACATAAATGTAGCATATATGATATGTTAAAGGCAAAGCTATCAATTTGTAGTATAGAATTGACATGTTGAGAATGTTTCTGCTAATCGCCGCTTAAACTCACTGGAACGGATTTGTCAGAATAACAGCGACTTCACCACTAGTGTAAGTCCGGATAAGAGTGACATGTAAAGAAAAGTCAATTTTTTTCCTACTGGTAAGTACAAGATCAGTTTCCAGACAATAATAACGGCTTTATACGGATTTATGGATCTATGAATGGATATGCTGATCTTTAAAGCTGTATGCCTCTAGATGAGCCGATATATGTCAAGAAAATCAACCTTCAGAAATATGTACTAAAAATTTAGAAGAGTAACAACAATATTTACTATTCAAGAAATAGTTTACATTGTTATATGCAAATACTAACTGATTTTGCAGTATCTATCATCATTTTTCTACCGCGTGACTAACGCATTGTGGGGATTTTGCATATTCTGACATATCTTTTATGTAATATTCTCCGATTTTAAGTTTCGTTTGCAATGTGTTAATAAATTTCTTTGTTAACTTGAAAACCGTTTACTTTTTAATAGATAATGAAATTTTTTATGAATATTAGCTCGAATCTGGAGGTATGCTGCTTTAATTTTTATCTTCAGTATAAATGGTTTCATGACTTAGCTGGGGTCAATGTCAGTACACCATTTGAAATGATTAAGATATGTATCTTTGGTTGTGGCATGCAAGTTTGCACCTCTACGTATGTGAAATGTTTTCTTTATTTCTCGATACCAATCAAAACTGTATGTATCACTATCATTAACGTTCAAAACATATAGCGTCCTAAAATTTGGATAACGTTGGGTTTCACATAAAATATACTAAAAGAGCATGCTTTCGGAAACGTATTGCATAATTAAGTTCTGGATAACCTTACTTTTGATATAACCTTGATAATCATAAGCCGTACGGGAAGATAAATAATTCGCCGATAGTTCACATGGAACACAACTTTCAATGCAAGAAATATATTGTTGCAATTTACAAGATAGAAAATATAAGACAACATTATCAAAATTTTGAGTTAATGTCCACAAGCTTTCTCTTTTATTTGGACGACATACGAAATTCCGCTTGATCAACGGCAATGTAAGTTCTATAACACTAACACATTTGAAGCAGAGTATCACTTTTTATGATGTGTCCAAGATAAAAAGAGCTAAGAAAAAGTTTGTTTTTTTTTACAGTTTTCTCTAAATTACCAGCTATGAATAAATTTAATTTTTTATTCAATTCAAAATAGAAATAAAGACAGAAATAATCTTTTGAAGATTTTGTATTATGCCTGGCTGATGTATTCTTTATAAAATCCTTAAATAGTTTGTGTAACATGCTATTTGCCTAATACCAGAACACCTTTTAAGAAAAAGAATTGTTATTCTTTTATGTCTTATCATATGTTTAAAAATATATTGTATTGTATTTGTATTTGTATTTGTATTGTATTGTATTGTATTGTAGTGTACTGATGTTTTGCTCACTGCTCTCTTCTATCCAGAAACGAACAACAAAGCGTTGAGTAGTATTTGCATTTCTGCTTCCCTTCCCTTCTGGTCCAGAAAAAGCGATATTCAAAGTCTTAATGAAAATGATATACTTTAATTTGGAATCTTCTTTGATAGTGTTATGCTTGGCAGGTGTTAGACGATTTTGTGATTACCATTATGCAAATATGATCTTCATATGATCTATGTCACAAAGGAAGATAACTCTGCAGTACAGGCATAATAAACTGCTGTCATATTGGCCCTGGAGTTGTCCCCTTTTAATAATTCTATACTGAATGGATGCTCATGTTTTTATGTTTGTGTTGAACATATGTGAACATGAATAGATGAAACTAAAACAAATTACTAAAAAGAAAAAGGCAAATCGCCGATGGCCAACTCCGATCTGAATTACTACTGAACTATTTCCTTCTACAATTGACTACTGAAAACATATAATCAGTCTTACAAATTAATACCACCATATTAACTAAGTAAGACGTTTATGGTTGTAAACGTTGGCCAAAAAAAAAAGACAATATTGATTAAGGTTTTTCCTTTCGAGATGTTTGAAGGTTCTGCATTGAACCAGACTAGCTCTAAAAAGGGCTGTTCAGAAAATAATTGTATATCATTCGTCGTCTTCAGTTTCGTACTCAGACTCACTGCTCTCTTCTATCCAGAAACGCACATCATGACGCAGCATGTTGATGTCTTCAGCTTTCATGTAAACATAGTTATAGTACATGCTTCTCACGCCTTCCAAGACAGATAACTTCAGTTTCAGATTGTAACGAAAACATTTAAAGTTGTCTCCCTTAGCTTTGTTGTATCTGTAACTTATGTCAGCCATAAGTTTGTTTAGGTGCATCAGCTGGCGAGAAGCTTTCGTGAATTTTATTTCTGTATCTCGTAATTCTCGCCGTTTCTGTTGAAGTGTCTGATTCTCAGCTCCCGTCTTTGTTGACTTGACATTACTACTGAAGACTCTGTGTCCGTATTTATCAGAGGAAATTCTCATATTTGAAGACATTCTTTCTAAATTTGCTTTTAGGAATGATTTAAGAATGTTTCAAGACGTGTATTTATGTACTGTCTTAATTCAGAACAAGACAATAGTGATAAACATCAAATGTCACAAATTGTGTTCATATAACTTGACAAAAATCAAGATTGCCAGACGAGATAAAAAGGTGTTAAAACAATCAGAATAGGTGATTACTCCAGTAATTTAACTGTCTAGATGGTAATTACTCAAAACAAACTACACCATCAACTTTCATCACCGTTAGATAATTGTTTGTGATAGCATGATTATTATCTAAAAACATAGTTCTTAAAGGCGACGTTCTTACGCAAATTATTAAAACAAATTCGCATTCGTATTTTTCGTAAATTCATATAATAATGAGTTACATGCATATTGTGGTAAAAGCTAATCCTAATTGTAGGATTTATCCGCTGATCTACTTTCTCTTTCAGGACAAAAAAAGATATTACATTACACTTTATTATTAACTTTTTCCCTTTTGCTGTATACATGTCTCGTCTTAAAATAATATTTGGTTGCTATTTCTATAAAAAGGTGGATTCATCTGCCGATCCACATTCTTTTTTAGGACAAAAAAAAAAGATTTTATATTACACTATATTGTTAAGTCATAGTAAAATTTGACATGTCTTTTAAAATATATATTTTTCTTTTCATATTTTATACAATAATTCTATCATTTTAATCAAAAGTAAACAAACAAACAAAGCACTAAGATTCATTAAGTTTAACGTAAAGATTCATGTTCGGCCATCTTAACATCATTAAGCTCATATGATCGTAAATGTTTAGCATAACATTGAAAACATCAGAAAAAAGACAATATTGATTAAGGTTTTTCCTTTCGAGATGTTTGAAGGTTCTGCATTGAACCAGACTAGCTCTAAAAAGGGCTGTTCAGAAAGTAATTGTATATCATTCGTCATCTTCAGTTTCGTACTCAGACTCACTGCTCTCTTCTATCCAGAAACGCACATCATGACGCAGCATGTTGATGTCTTCAGCTTTCGCGGAAACGTAGTTATAGTACATGCTTCTCACGCCTTCCAAGGCAGATAACTTCAGTTTCAAATTGTAACGAAAACATTTAAAGTTGTCTCCCTTAGCTTTGTTGTATCTGTAACTCATGTCAGCCATAAGTTTGTTTAGGTGCATCAGCTGGCGAGAAGCTTTCGTAAATTTTATTTCTGTATCTCGTAATTCTCGCCGTTTCTGTTGAAGTGTCTGATTCTCAGCTCCCGGCTTTGTTGACTTGACATTACTACTGAAGACTCTGTGTCCGTATTTATCATAGGATACTCTCATATTTGAAGACATTTCTTTCTAAATTTGCTTTTAGGAATGATTTAAGAATGTTTCAAGACGTGTATTTATGTATTGTCTTGATTCAGAACAAGACAATAGTGATAAACATCAAATGTCACAAATTGTGTTCATATAACTTGACAAAAATCAAGATTGCCAGACGAGATAAAAAGGTGTTAAAACAATCAGAATAGGTGATTACTCCAGTAATTTAACTGTCTAGATGGTAATTACTCAAAATAAACTACACCATCATCTTTGATCACCGTTAGATAACTGTTTGTGATAGCACGATTATTATCTAAAACATAGTTCTTAAAGGCGACGTTCTTACACAAATTACTTAAAAAATTTCGCATTCGTATTTTTCGTAAATTCATATAATAATGAGTTACATGCATATTGTAGTAAAAGCTGCTCTCTTAATTTCCTCTAATATTTTTTGTTCGCTTAACTGTTAAATTTTGAATAAAAACCAATCGTATACTAGCAGTAACTTAATTTTCAATTATGTCGAAATTTTGTTATAAACCCATGTTTAAGATCATATGGTCGTAAATGTTTAGCATAACATTAAAAACATGGGGAAAAAAGACAATAC